TTCACCATGTTGGTCAGGCTGGTCTTGAACTCCTGACCTCAGGTGATCCGCCTGCTTCGGCCTCCCAAAGTGCTGGGATTACAGGCATGAGCCACCGTGCCCGACTGGACATAGTCTACTCTTTTAAGCAGTAAGAGGAAGCAATAAGAGGAAGGAGACACCCCACTGAATATCCTGGGGCATGCATGTGGCTGCCTGGTTAGCCACCCACCCCCACCCCAGGCTGGGAGGCTGGGTTACTGAACCTCCACCAAGGGAGGATCTCAGGGGAACCGAGCCCTGCCCCTTTACTCTGCCCACACCTGCAGCCTGTGCCAGCTCCTGAACTGCTGAGAACATATCCTGGGAACACAGGTGCCTTTGTCTTTGCCAGGAACTCAGTCCCTGCAGAAGGTGGCGGTGGGGAGAGTAATATGAGACCCCAGATCCTTCAGGCAACAAGTCCTTGTCCAGCAAGGGAGCCAGGGAAGATTCCAGTGCAACACTTCCAAGAATGTCCTCACTGGCTGGACCTCAGTCTCCACTGCCCTGCCCAGAGCCAGGGTGGGGTGGACTGGATGAACTTTCAAGGTCATTTCCTGGCCATGATTCTATACAAAGAGAAGAGGGACAAGAAGAACTGCATGTGCCTGTGAAGATGCTAAAATCCCAGGAGGATTAGGGTCCTTGAAGAGGTTCTATGAGTCTAGAGTTGCATTCGGCTGAGATTCTAGTATTCTATAGTTCGAAAATTCCGAGAGTTTAGAATCCTGTGATTCCAAGACTCTTACTTGATTAGGGGAAGGAAGACATCGTAGTCATCACATCCTCTTAATAAAATTCACGCCTCTGGAAAGAACCCCACACCCATAACTCCAAAGCCAAGCAGGCTTGTTTTCCCCCTTTCTGCCTTTAAATTGTCTTTTCACTCTTTGGTGTCTGCTCATCTGCACACCCCCACTCCACAGTCCCTCCTCCAAGCCTGGCAGCCACACATTTGCCATCTGCATATAACCCAGTGATTAGCACAGCAGAGCAGGAGAGGAGGGTGTGGAACCCATGCTGCCTGCCAGTCAGACGGCCTTAAGTCGACCAGGCTGCAGCGAGTCACCCCAGCTCCCTGAAAGGGCTGAGCAGGGAAGGGAAGCACACTCCTGCAGATTCAGACACACACACACACAGAGACACACAAAGGAGGGCCCCAGGCACACAGACACACAAAGAAACAGAGAGAGATGTGCACGCACACACAGACAGTGCAAACAGCACACGCCCACACGTGTGCAGCACTCACACACATGCAAACAAACCAGAGACAGACACCCCACAGTGACATACACCTGGGCACACATGCAGAAACACAGAGAAAGACATGCACAGCGCACGTGGATATTTGCAGTGCAACACATACACACACACTCATATACAGCCACACAGCAGAACACACGATGCATGCATACACACACATATGTACAAACACATGCAAATAAATCCAAACAAATAGATACAGATTCAGAGTTACACAGATCAACACACTTCCAGGGGGGACAACAGCACTGAGTTGTTAACACACCTCCAAATGACAGTTGTCAGAATCACCCTTCTCATCCTCATCTCCCACTCCCTCTCATTCATAGGACATTATTTAGGACCCACTCTACACACATCCTGGCACTGAGCCCCTGGGAGATCCCAGGGCTCTGACACAGGAGTGTAAGAGGAGGAGCAGTTCAGTCAGTTCCTGGGAACTCAGAGGCAGCTAGAATACAGATAGGCACTGGGCTCAGGAAACTTCCCAGAGCTCTACAAAATAGATTGCCTGGAAAGGTAGTGAGCTCCCCACCACTGGAGGCAATCTAGTGCAACCAAGGGTTTTGGGCATCAGATGGGAGAGTGGGTGCCAGGGGAATTGAAGGCCTTTAAAATCGATTCCAGCCCTGAGAGTCTCTATTTCTATCAATTCCACTGGGCTTCAAAACAGTGATCTTCAAAATTTTTTGTATCATATTCCCTATTAGCAAAAATGTTTTAAACATGTATTCCTCAATGTATGTATATTTGATACTTGTTACACATTTTTATATATTTCTTTGTTGTGTACTTCATAGAACATACACAAAAACAGAAAAATTTGAAATAACGGATAAAGGTATATAGATCACTACTTTAAAGGACAGGTGAAACTGAAGGGAAAGTGATATAACATTTATTAAGTCCCTCCTGTGTGCCAGACTTTTGTTATATATTACTCCTTTGAATCTTCAAATAGCTCTGTAAAGAAGCTATCATGAATTTTCCATTTTGTAGATGAGAAACTAAATAAGACAAATAAAATCATTTCCCCACAGTCTTGCCACCTGTAGCTGCCACGGCTGGAATCTGGACCCAAGTAAGCTGGCTCCGGAGCCCACTGCCCACGCTGACCACTCCCGTGTCATACAGGAAGCAGGGAGCTGGGGAAAGACCCATTTGGTTTTGGAGGCAACAGGCTGAGTGGAGGGCCTGCACAATTTGTCAAGAGCCCTGAATGACGGCCTTGAAGCCGAGCAACAGGTATGATTCTCAAACCACAGACACAGCTGGGCCAGACGTGGCCATTTCTTTCCTTTAAATCTTCACTGCTCAAAGGGCAGTCCAGGGACCAGCAGCTTCAACCTCGCCGGGAAGTTTACCAGAAATGCAGAATCTTGGCCCCGCTACAAACCTACTAAGTCAGAATCTGCATTTAACAAGAATAAAGTTTGAGAAGCCCCAAATTACTTAAATTCATCTGGTCTGTGAATGCATCCCATGGGGGTGACGTGAAGCAAGCCCAACCTTGGTCATTCTTGGGGCTCTCTCCTCTCCAGAACCTGCTCAGATCCAGGGTCTTAGAGAGTCTCTGGACATTCGAGGTGGCTTCCACAAATCTGTCCACACTGCTTGCCTGCAGCTCCTAGGCTCCTAATCCCACAGTGGCTCCCATCTGGCTCTGAGTAAAAGCTGAAGGCCTCACCTTGGCCTGCACGGCCCAGCAGACTGGGCCCTGCTTCCTCTCTAACCTCATCACCTGCCTCACTCCTGACAAGTTTCCCGTTGCCTGGCTGCCCAGCTGCGCTTGAACTTGTCATCCCAGGGTCTTCGCACTGGCCATTCCTTTCACCTGGTGTTCCTGTGGCTCTCCTTCATACTTTCCTTAGGAAACCACTCCCTGAGTGAGACCTCTATGCATAGAACAGCATCCCCTCCCCCTAACTCACGTGTTTATCTTTCCATCTCCCTCACTAGAATGCGAATGCCTTGAGTGCAGGAACTGTGACTATCTCATTTCCAGCATCCAGCTGAGCCCCTGGCCATAGTAGGTGCTCAATAAATATCTGTTGACTGACGGAGGCTGTGCCCATTGTTCCATGCTGAGGGACCCTCATCTCAGCCACCCTGTGAGGTTGTGGGGTCTTCCATGAGGGCAGAGGCCTTGAGACACAGGTATGGCTACCTGGAGCCACCAAGAGGCCTGCCCTGTAGGCCTTGTCCCCTCTCCAATCCTGCTGGGGTGGGGGCAGCACCCCTTGTCAGCCTGACCCCCTCCAGCTTCTCCAATGTGCTTGCCCCCAACCTCTCCCAGTCTTTCCTGGGAATCTCTTTGGTTTTAGACCTCACTAAAGACTAAGGGGCCTTCATTTTTCTGCCTAAATCCCTGCAGCACCTGTTTACTAAGCCCAACTATTTGCTTGAAGCCGAAGAGAAGAAACATAAAGAGGACAAACAGACTAATATTTTCTAACGTGGCCTGTCATACCTACAGGCCATGAGAGCTCAGGCCACCCATTTCCCTCTCTGCACCTCAGTCTCCTCATCTATTCCCAGAGATTCATAGGGATAGTTACCACCTTTTTTGCTGAAGAGGGAAGGAGACACAGTGAGAAAGAAAACTATAATGGTGGAATTTCAAGTATGAACCAGCCCAGGGTTGTAGGCATTGGGGCAGCAGGGTGTGAGTTGGGAGTAACGAGGGAGACTAAGGGATCTGCTATCAAAAGATCTGGGTTTATGGCCTTGCTGTGCCACTAACCCAGTATGTTGGTCAGGTAGAGCCTCTGTTTCCTCATTTGTACAGCTATGAGGCTCCCATCAGGTACAGACCAAAGGGCTCCGGGAGACTTCCCAATCCACTTCCCTCCTTGCTCCAGCAGCAGCGGCAGCATGAAGGCTGGTGTGGCCAACTGCTACCCAGAGGCCATCGTCCCAAACAGAAGCTGCAGCAGCAGAGAAAGTGGTATGTGTCATTTAGGCTTTCCCTGAGCGCCAAACCAGTTCCTACCCAGGGACAGACACTTCCTCTCTTGGGTACAGGAATGAGGCCAACTAGAGTCTTGGTTTCCCTGCCCAGGAAAGCAGCCGGGAGTTCAACGAGGACACCTGTTCCTTCAGGAAGCCCAGGCCACGCCAGGCCCTCAGGGTGGCAGAGCCTGAGCCCCTGGATCCAGCCACCAGGGCCCTCATGGACAGAGCTGCATCCTGCTTCCTGCTCCTTCTTTCACTCTATCAGTAGTTTTGCATGAGGCCCTGCTCTGTGTGGGCTCAGCTCCAGGTGCTGGGGAACAAAGGCAAAGAGCTCTTATGGAGTTCAAACATCAGTGGGAGAGAGCCACGCAACCAATCAAATGTATAACATTGATATGCTGTCAAGAAATGGAAATGCTATCAAAAAATAAAGTGGAGTAGGGAATAGGAAGTGATGGGACAGTTTTAGCTGAGTGGTCAGGACATGCTTCTCGGCAGAGGTGACATTTGAGCAGAGACCCTAAGGAAGAGTCGGGGCAAACTAGGCAGCTAGCTGAGGAAGAGGGTTCTAGGCACAGGGAACAGCCTGTGCAAAGGTCCTGAGGTAGGCACCTGCTGGGCATGTTCAAGGAATATTGAGATGAATTAACTGCAGTGGAGTGAGCAAGGGAGAGAGTGTGGGGAGACCAGGTCAGTGAAGCAGGGTATCACAGGGGGCCTTTTGAGCTGCATCGAGAACTTCAGGTTTTACTCCAAGAGAAGGAATGGAAGGCCACTGGGGGGCTTTTATTGAAGAAGCAACAAGGCGTGAAGTCCAGGAAGTAGGGAGCCAGTGAGGAAGTGACTGCACTAATCCAGGTGAGAAATGAAGGTGCTGGGACCAGAGTGTGATGCAGGTGGGAAGGAGTGGTTGGATTCTGGGTTTATTTTGAAGGTAGAGCCAAGAGGATTGGCTGGCAGGGAAGAAAGAGAAAGAGATGAGTCAAGGAGGGCACCAAGGTATTTTGCCTGAGAAACTGCATGAACAGAACGAGATGGAGTAGGCAACAAACATCATTCTCAGCTGCCATGCATTGGTGCATATTTTCTCTGTCTCTCTCTATCTCTGTCTCTCGATCTCCTCTTTATGCATTAATCCTGCCCTTACATATTTTCAGATGAGAAAACTGAGGCTGAGACCCATTTGAGATCACACAGATAGTGAGGGGCAGAGTCTGGAATTGCATGCATATCTCTTAGCCACCGAGCTATACTGTCCCATCAGAACTGGAGTTAGCGTCATCTGTTCATTCCTTATTTCATCCACCAGATCCTTGTGCGTCTAAGACCTTTCAGCAGGCCCGGTGCTGGACACCAGAGAAGGACCTGGAAATCATCAAGCCCAGGTCTCTCAGTGATGGCTGAGGCAATCAGCTCTCTGCCCCTGCAACACCACCAGTACAGGGATGCCCACCCAGAGGTTTTGGGGAGGGCTCAGCTCAGCACAGCTGGGCTCGGCTCTGGGTGGAGCCAGGTCCCCAGAGCCTGACAACAATGTTTAGGGTCTGACAGTGTGGTCCCACCCTTGATGGGCTCCTATGAGCTGCCTGCCTGCTGCGTTGCTCAATTGCTGACTTCCCCAGGAAAGCACTAATTACGGCAAAGCTCCCCTGGGCCCCGGCTTGGCGATCTGTCACAGCCCCTAGGCTTCGGAGCACTGGCTACAGTCTCTACAGCAAGCCAAGCGCTGTCCTGCTCTCTGCCTTCATGCTAAGGGGAAGACAGAAACCAGAGGGATGGACAGACTAACCAACAGGGAAACTGGGGCTTGGCTTACAAAGGAGTCTCACCTTGGCTTGAATGGCAGTCTATTCAGCGGTTCTCAAAGTGTGATCCCTGAATCAGTAGCATCAGTATCACCTGGGACCGTGTTAGAAATGCAAATTTTCAGACCTTACCTAAGACCTACTGAATCAGACACTCCATGGCTGGGGCCCTGGAATCAGTGTTTTAACATTCCCTCCAGGGGCTGTTGGTATCAGCTCACATTGTAGAACCAAAGCTTTGATTCCTGTACAGCTGTGGTTGGAGGGAGGCCTGTGGAGAGGTGATTATGAAGTGGGATGGATTGAAGCACAGGCTCATAGAGACCCACCTTCAAATCCAGGTTGTGCCAATTCCTTGCCCTGAGATTGGATCGTGGGCAGAGCACTTCATTTATTTACTTATTATTTTTACTTTTTTAGATAGGGTCTCGCTCTGTTGCCCAGGCTGGAGTGCAGTGGAGCAATCATAGGTCACTGCAGCCTAGAATTCCTGGGCTCAAGCAATCCTCCCACCTCTGCCTCCCAAAGTGCTGGGATTACAGGTGTAAGCCACCATGCCCAGCTCAGTTTTAAAATTTAATACATATTTATTGACAACCTACTGTTTACTGTTGAAGGGCCTGGGGCTGCAGCTCTGGGACAAAACAATGGCAGTGGCCAACACTTAACCTATATTAACTCATTTAACCCTCACAAGAACCCTTTCAGGTAAGGTCCTATCATTACCCCAAAGGAAGCACAGATCATCAAAATAACTTGCCCTACGGGGCTAGTCTGAGAGACCACTGGAGTGCAAGCCACTAGGATAAACTGACCTGGAGCTAGTTAGGGAGACAGAAAAAATGCAATGGAGACACACAATATTAGCAGGTTGTGATGCATGCTATGAAGATAAAATAAAGTAGGGAAGAGGGTAGGGCATATTGGGCAGGGGTGGGGGTGACTACTTTAACAGGGTGGTCTGGCAAGACCTCTCAAGGAGGTGGCGTGTGAGCAGAGCTGCCTCATTTGTAAAATGAGGAAATGATTAGCTCACCCTCCCAGATGTGGTATGAATGTCACAGTCTGTAAAGCATAGTAGATGCCGAACAGATGGGAATTGTTTGGAAAACTGAGTTCAAATCCTGACTGGTTTGGCAACCCACAGAAAGGGGCTGTTGTGAGCCTTGGAGATTATCCTTACACTGCAAGGGCCAGAGGACACAGCAGGGGCTCAGTAAGGTCACTCCCATCTCCCATCCCCCCACCCCAGTTGTTCTTCAGCCTGGTGAGCAGCAAGCAACTCTTGGGGCAGTTGGTTCCCTGGTCCAGGCTGCCCAGGAGTCCACGCTGTTTTTATTTTTATTGTTCTGGCTCCACAGCTGAGACCTCTAACTCCAAATGGCTCTTCTTGCCCAGAAAAATAGGTCGTTGGCAGCTCCAGCCTCCTGGCAGGCCTGCCTGCTGACGCCAGCCCAGGGTTACGGGAAGTGGGGAGCAGAGCGCGGGCAGGGCTGGAACCAGGTGAAGTTGGGCTGTGCAGGTGCCAGCGTGCCCCACAGGGTGGCCCTGGTGAAGTCGTGTTCTGTCTCTGGGCATGTTTCCTCACCTCTGGGAACCCCGTGGAGTTGCTGAGGCTTCAGATAACGTATTTCAAAGGGCCTAGAACACACAAGGATGTCATCCACCCCCCTGCAATGGCCAAACTCCAGATAGGCCCTGCCATGCTATCATGGCTGCTTTCACTTCTTTGTCACTATTGACCCCATCATATCAGAGTTTGTTATCCCCATTTCACAGATGAAAAGACTGAGGCTCAACATTTTGTTTTGCCCAAGTTGCATAAGTCAAATCGGCAAAATCTTGGCTTCCAAGCCCCTGATCCTCTCCTCCTCATGCCCATTTGTCTTCTTCCCTTGACAACAGGGAAGGAATGTGATCTGACTTCTGTGCAAGGATTCCTCAGGCTGCTGAGTCGAGGAATCGACAGAAGGCACAAGGTGGAAATAGGGCGCCCAGGTGAGAGCGGTGGAGGCTCAGACGAGGGCGGAAGCAGCGGAGGTGCTGAGAAGTGGTTTGGCTCTGGTTGTGATGAGAAGGCCCAGCAGGCAGGATTTGCTGACAGATTGTGCCCTCTAGGAGTAAGAGGAAGAGTCAAACAGAAAATGCAGGGATGCAACCACCCCTGGCTTCCCATCTCACCCCCTCGGTGAGACCTTCCTTGATCCCTTTTCAAAATTGCAATCTATCCCTCTCATCAGCGCTCTTGGGCCGCTTCCCTGGCTAATTCCCCCACCCCGTAGCACCCATCCCATCCCATCTAGTTTCCTCCCACTAGAATGTCAGCTCCTTGAGGGCAGGGATTTTTATCTGTTTTCCAACTGTTGCATTCCCAGTGCCTGGCACCAAGCAGATGCTTAATAAACATTGTTGAGTGCACGAATGAATATGTGTGAAGGCAGTTAGATTCTAAAGTAGGGCAGCCCAGACCTCTTGCTGTGGCAGTGGCTGATTCACGTCAATTATCTGCCATAATCTCTCTGTGTGGCCTCAGACAAGTTGCCCCTCACCTCAGTTTACCCATGGCCCATGGGTCTCAGTGGCTTCTCAGCCTTGAGATTGGCCAAGGATGATTTTTATGTGGACAGAGAACAAGGGTCAGGGCCCCCTCCTGAGGGAGAGGTGAGGGAAGCCCTGCTGAGCGCCTTTGCCAAAGGTACTATATATAAATAGCAGGTGGTTCAATTATTATCCTTCCCTAATCCCCAGTTTCCTAATCCCTGGGCAGGTTTGTGAGTGTGTGTGTGTCTTGGGGAACTGAACAGCAGAGCCTTCTGGAAGTCCAGGGCAGGAGGCTGCCTCTTCTCTGACTTCATCAGCAGCCTCCATCTCCACTCCCACCCCAGATAGAGTCTGGTGACAGATTTTCCCAGGAGCCTCCCTGGTCACCTTCATGGTCTAGACCAGATGTGGCCTGAAGAGATGGAGACCTTCCCTGCCCCCACATCAGATACCAGGATAATCCCAGAACAATATCCTTTCTCATTGGTGCCCAATTCCACGCTCCTCTCCCCAGTCCACCCTACGCTTGGAGAGTGGCCTTTTAGACACATAAATCAGACATGGCCCTCCCATGCTGAAAACCCTCTAGGGGTCTCCCAACTGCAGAATAAATGCAGGCTCTTTACCCAGGTCTTGGAGACCGTCCCACCCTCCCCACTCCTGCATGCTGTGCTCTCTCTCCTCCAGCCTAGCCGCCAGGGGCCTTCCCCTCCTTGTGCTGGGCCCTCTTCCTGGAACATCTTTCTCCCCAAATCTTCCCCTTGTTGATCCTACTTGTGATTCAGCAACCCATGTCTCAGGGAGGTCCTACTGGCCCCCTTATCAAAATACGCTCACCCCTCTCCTTCTCTAAGTTCAGTCTTCCGTTCTTCATTAATTATTTCTACTTGTCCACTTATCTGTCTCCCCTACTAGAATATAAATTCCTCATGGACAGGGACCTCGTGCTCTCCCACACCCAAAGAAATGAAAATTCCCTTGCACTTCAAATGCTGCCCAAAACCCTGTGGGTTCTCAAGAACTGCTGTCAAACACTTCACTTATTTATCAAATGCTTATGCTGCACTTGGTATATGCTAGGCTCTTTTTAACATGTCTTACAAATATTAACTCATCTAATCCTCACAATTGAGACTCACGCTGGCCTCATTTCAGATGAAGAAGCTGAGGCACAGAAGAGGTAAGGTACTTTCCAGTCTACCCAGCTCATAACAGTAGCCAGGGGATTTGAACCCAGGGAGTTCAGCCCATGTTCTCAAGTGTGGCACCCTCCCTGCCCCCCTGCACAACAGCAGGACCAGGCATTTAACCAGGAGGCTTGGGGCAGGAGGGGAGGTGGTGGTGCTACTTTGCATAGGTCTTTAACCTGGGAATCAGGAATTCAAATCTTGTTGCTACCCCAAGCTTTGCTGTGTGGCCTTAAGCAAACCTATTCCCTCTCTGGGCCTCAACTTTCTGTCCATTTACAGGGCTGGGCCTTCTCTCACCTTGTGTTATTCCTATCCTCTTAACTGCCACTGTGTGAAGCAAAATTCTCTCCCATTAGCAGCGGGTCTTGAACTTGTGTTCCTCCCACAATGCGGAGCCGCCTTCTGCCAGGTGACCAGGACACTGACACTCCCCATCACTAACCTGGCTGCTACAGGAACGGCGTTCCCTCCAGGAAAACCGAGATTCTGTCCTCTCCAACTCCAAGCCTCTGGCCCCGGCTCCCACCCCTCATCTTCTTCCGGGCCTGTCCTTCTCCTGGAACCCATGCCTTCAGGGCCCCGCTCTCCCACACACGCCCCCTCCTGGGCCTCCCCACCCCCTCAATCTGCCCTCCACCACCGAGACACCTAGCCCGGGGGGCTCCCACCTCCCTGGGAAGGCCCCGGCCCTTCCCCTCTGGTTCCCCGCCACAGCCCCCTTCTCGCTCCCTCTCCTCCCCGCGCCTCTTTTCCAGGCGGCACCGAAGTCCTTCCTACACACACGCTATTTTTGTACCATCACTCTCTTCTTCCTCTCCCCTTCCCCCTGCGTTCACTTACTTCCTTCTTTTCCTTCACCTCGGCCCGGCTCTGAAAGGATCGGGCCCCTCCGGCCCGCACCCATCCCCAAGAGGGGCCTTCAGCTTTGGGGCTCAGAGGCACAACCTCTTGGGGAGGGTTAAAGGCAGACACCCCCCGACCCCCGCGCCACCACTCCCCGACTCCTTCGCCGCCTCCAGCCTCTCGCCAGTGGGAAGCGGGGAGTAGACGCGCGGCCAGAATCCGGAGGCGAGGGGAGGTCGGCCGCAACTTCCCCAGTCCACCTTAAGAGGACGATGTAGCCAGCTCGCGGCGCTGACCTTAGAAAAACAAGTTTGCGCAAAGTGGAGCGGGGACCCGGCCTCTGGGTAGCCCCGGCGGCGCTTCTAGTGCCTTCCAGCCCTAGCGGGCGGCGCAGGTCCGAGCCTGGCAGGGACGGGGAGGGGCAGAGCGGGACGGGTCGGGGCTGGGGACTAACCGCGCGGGCTTCTGAACTGGCACATTGTCGGAGCCGGAGGCTCGTCTAGTCCCGAGCCCGAGCGGGCTGCGGCGGCTCGCGGGGCCGCCTTCACGGGCAGCAGCCGGGGGCCCGCGCGGGGGTGCCGGGGCCCGGGCGCCGGCGCGGGGGGCGACGCTGCCCTCCCCGGCCGGGCGCGCTGCTCGCAGCCCTCGCTCCCTCACCCGGGGCGCGCTGCTGGCTGGCGCGCAGGCGGGCGCTCGCTCGCCGAGAAGGTGCCGGCGGGGCCGGAGCCCCGAAGCCTCCCCGGGCGGCGGGAAGACGGGAGGAGGGGGGAAGGGAAGGAGGGAGGGGGCCGGGCTGCCGGGAGGGCGGGGGCAGCGGCCGGGACTGCGGGCCGGGAGCGAGCTCAGCCGCCCGCGCCGTGTGGAGCCCGGGCGGGGCAGGTGGGCA